AGTGATTGGACTGCCTGAAGGGGACTACAATTCGGCCCGCGTTGCAATCAGGTTAGTTTCAGCGTCTTGAAAGCCAGGATTACACAGTTGCAGCTACGTTGATTTATGCAACGTGCTGGTCCTCGTCAGAAAAGAAATGAACTTGCGATGACTCCTGACCCTATCTAGACGCACTGAGAATGGACGCCTAGTGCCCCGAGCCAAAGGCGAAATGAAACACAAATAGTAAGGAGGCTTATCTCTATCTTCACTCCCCCCCCCTCCCAGGTGATCAAGGAGTGCCAGCAGCGGGCCGGGGTGACAGACGGAAAGACGGAGACCAACGCGCTCAGCCCGGGAGGGAAGACAAACGGGACAACAGACGCCGAGAGGAAAAACCTGCCAAGAAGCAACCGTCAGAAATGCCCAAATACGAGAAGCCCGCCCCACCAGTAAGTATCTTTGTCACCCTTGATCTCTTTCAACTAAGGGAACATCTTAGGGAATTGGTTGCATTGGGGGTGGTGGAAGTACAGATGCAAGGTGTTGTTATTTTATGCTGGTGTTGTGTGGCTGTCCAGAACTTGAGCACATAAACACTGGAGTGGAGCGTGAACCTATAACTTGTGGTACAAGAGGTCGTCTTAATAGCATAGGGGTTGAGGTGGCGGAGAAGTGCTTGACCCTTGCGTGCATGAGATATTTTGACCACCTTACACTCTTTTGAAATAGGTGGTAATTCTGAATTAATCATAATCAAGGGGTTAGTGTGTTTGTGAAGAATGTATGATCAAACGGGTTAACGTGAGTTTTGTTTTCCATAAAACCCTGATAAACCTCGTAAACTAGTGAGGTAAACCTCTTGTTAAAATCTTATCTTCTTCCCCAGTTGAATGAGCTCTCAATAGTGTCTGGAAATGACATCAGTGGTTTATGTTAAGAGGCAGTCCTTTGAAAACTAAAACGCTGAAACGCAGGCGTGAACAACATTACAGTCACATCAGTACAGGGGAGCCTTATGCATTACATCCAAATCACTTTGAAGTCAGATTTAAAGGTCCCAAAAAACCAGGTTGTGCAGTCTCATTTAGCGTATCATGTTTGAAACAATCCATTTATACCTCATCAAGATCGGAATACAATCTTGTCTTGATGAAGACTTTTTACCCTCCACTGACCAGAAAAAAAAAACCTGCAAGTGGTGTCTCATCTTGAGCTCCAATTTTTCTGTGAGCAGATCTTTTTCTTGGCTGCTCAACGGTGGGGTTTTGTCAATCTTTTCTAATTTCCACCTTTTGCTCTCCAGAGAACTGAATTTTACCTGGCCAGTTATCATTTTGTTTTTTGCCTTCCATAGAATTGGAGCCAACCAAACAAGTTCTCCAGTCTGATGACGGAAGATGACCTTCCAGGCTCAGACTAGAGCTAGCTTGGACGAGCTTCTTGCGCCCCTGGTGTCACGACAGGGATAATGACAGGCAACCGAATCCAGGCCGTGATTTCTTTTACCCACCACTGTCCCCATTGCCAATGCTGTGGTCACCATTTTGAACACATCAGCGGATTTACCTCAGCAGTTGCCAGAGTCAAGGTGACACAAGTCACCTCAAGTCTCTTGGCAAGTGGCAAGCTTTTCAAATCAACTGTCACAAAGGCGTGCCATTTGTCATTGGTTCACGTGTTTGTCATTGTTCACAAGTCTCGGTCTCGGGACATGGGATGAGCTTTTCAGATGAACTGTAACAAAGGCATGCCAATTGTCATTGGTCGACCCCTGCTTTCTTCAATACTTGACTCACACTCTGCAGTGTCATTAGCTTGTGGTTGGCCGGATAACAACTGCAGTCACTGAAGAATCAATGTAAGCATTAATCAGTTGTCAGAAACAAAACTGGAAATTAAGCAAGAAACAAAGCTGCTAAAACAAGTCACTGAGATATAGAAAGTGAATGAATTACCAAGAATCTCAAATCACGTCAGACACATGTACATGTATTTTCTATTTATTACAATTAAGGACTCTCTCAATACATGTCATTGAAGGTTAAGTTGAATTATGCTATTCTTTTTCCCTCATCATCAAATCTGTTTTCAGTTTGCTAAACACAGAAAGGCACAGGCTGTTTTTGTGAAAAAATATTTCTTTTGATCGTTTTCTCTTCTCGATGAGTTTGAATCTGGCGTATTGTCTTAGAAAAACTATTTTTTTTAACAGCTCCGTTCTAAACGTATAAAAAACCAATTTATAAATAACGAATGCCTTTTTAACAGGTATTACCTCTGAGAGAGAAATCACTGTGTTACATACCTTCTGCCATTTTCGAATCAGTGGAAATAACTAAGTATATATGGTGCGTATTTTCTTTTTTCTCCTGTTTTGTTGGCTTACTTGTGGATAAGAATCAATCTATTGTGGGATGGATCGGTTTTGATTGTTGAAAACCTTCGCAGCTGTTGGTTCAGGAGAATAACTATATGGCTCATACACAGTCCCGGGTAATCCTGGAACTCCAAAATCTGTGTTTCGGTTAGTCATTGTACAGTTTAAAGACAGACTTTTCGTCATAAAAATACAAGTGAACTGACTGAAACAGTATTTTATTTCTCCAAATATTAGCACATTTAATATATGCATTTTTTTGATTTCTTCTTTGACGTAATCTTTGCTGCCAAAAGACTGGTTTTTATTCATCCCTTATAATTCCAAGTTCAAAAGAAAACGAGATGTGAGAAATCCATTCAGGTGACAGTTCTTTAGTTCGCAAAGTCACTAGCATTAGAAACAATTCTTTCCTTTGTGTCACTGTTAATATGTGAACCACGTGTACAATGTACATTTTGTAATAATTGAACAATTAAGAGATGTACTTTTATATTAAATGGTAGAATGTTTTGGCCCGTTTACGGTAATTCGTGTCATGTACCAAGGGAAGTTTGGAAGGGTTGAAGCTGGTTCATTCAGAGGCCAAAGAGAAATGTCAGATTTGTCATAACAACGCCTCGATTTTTGTGGCGAGGCATTACCGATCACCCAGTCTCTTTTAAAATGGCAACGTTAATGTGTAGTGTAGAACCGACAGGTAGTTCATTCCTGTCTTGCTCTGATCTTAACTTAGTAATAAATCAGTAATGCTGTTCACGTTGCATTGTCACTTTCCGTTTACTCCATCATTGGCGTGACTTCTTTTCTGCTGCAGAGAAGTTTACGCGTGCTGCTCTGTGTCGCTTTCCTGCAAAACCTTATTTCCAGACCGAGAAATCTCTTTTTTTTCGTTCACAAGTCAGACCTGTTTTGTTGCCTCTGGCTCAATGGGATGCCAACGGAGAGGGTAATTTAGACAAAAGCAGTACTTTGGGTTGAAAGAGAGGCTTTGCCGTAACACCATGTGGATGGATCGCTTTTGGAAGAGGTATGGATCTGATGACCGTCGAATGTGAACTACTTCGGGTTTATTCTGAAGAAAGTTCAGATCCAAAACGAGATTTCTGGGGGGGAGGGTGATGAGTTTTTTTGGGCCATAACATTGTGGTTTGTTGTTGATACCACAATTTTTAAATATGTAATGGCTTAATGAGCGGTTAGGCAACATTTGGGAGCTTTTCATTGTTTTGGGAAGGAAGGGAAATGGAATTGTTCAAAAACCGCCCNTTTAAAATTTCAAAAAGAAATCCGGAGGGGGATTTTTCGATCGTCTAACTCATTCCCTTCGCTTTGGGAGAGGGTGTTGATTCGAAAGATTATGTAACAAGCACTGCTGGCAAGGCCTACGGATAATAATAGGTCCTATCATAAAACACGAACATTCATGGACACGCAAAGAAAGTTTTTGCCTTTCTCTTCTGAATTTTCGGTTTTATGAAAGCTTTAAACTAGGTACATGTAATTCATAGTTCAGTCCAAGTTAGCATCAACCAGGATGCCCTGGGCTAGAGGATCAAGAATCTGTGGTACCTAGGACCTTTCCCTTTTGTATGTTTATACAATAATTAGAGTACCATTTGTTACTCCCTTTGACAGGAGTATAGGACCCAGAATCATGGGTCATCATGATAGTGTAAACACTATGAACTGGGGCTTTGTGGTAACAAGGTTGAATGGAGAACGCCCGTCATTTTGATTTAAAGTGATTGAAAGGATCTGCCATCGGCGAACCAACCAACAATCCCACTATGCTGTTGATAACTGTGCCAATACTTCAGGAAGACACCCCCCCCCCCCACACACACACCCACACACATCCACATTTAGAATGGTACACACGCCCTTCCTCAATATGACAATGCACGCACATGCGTAAAGGCCGGTTTGTCAACTTCGCACGAAAGCAAACATAAACGTGAAATTGTTAAGGGCTGCAGTTCAAACATTTGAACACAACACCATCTCGAGCGAATTTCGCCTATTATTATTCTGTGTCAGGTTCGCCTATGGTTTGAACCGGCCTTTATTGGATGATTTTCGAGGAGTACCGGTACTCAATACACGCACGCAGAGACAGGTAGCAGGGACAAAAAGGTATCACACTTAACGTGTCTCACCTGGTTACTTTTATTCTCTGATTTCTTTTTAAGGAAATCGACAAATTAATTTCATGTGAATATGCAGTGACACAAATATAATCGATGCCAAATACATGCACAAGTATACAGCTGCATTTAGAAACCATACAATCGACGCTCAAGGAAGAGAAGATCAAGAGAATCATTTTCGGGAAAAGCCAAATTTAATTTGGTGGGGGCAAAAAATGAAAATTTCTTTGAGGGCGTCCACAGGTGTGATATTTGCTTCTGGAGGCTTTTTTTACACGCTCGGGGAGGGAAAGGAAATAAAATGGTCCTTAAATCCTCCTACGTTACAAACAAATAAGATGGCTTTGGTCCAGGCGCGATTCTAGAGCCAGAAGTGTTTTTTTTTAAAGACTCTTCGCACGTGACGTCACCTATTAGCATTTGCTACTGCTCTGTTAATTTCTTTCTTTTTTCTTTAGCATTGTTTTTATGGGGGGGGGGCTATACAAAACATTGGGGGCGCAAGAGCCCCCCCCGCCCCTCCCCTGTAGAACCACGCCTCCATATCTGTCCTGGTTCCCTCAGTGTGCTCGGGAACTGCCAATAAAAAA